AAGACCTATAAAAATAGCTCTCATAATTTAGGATGAACCATAACCCTTCTCTTTTGATCAAGAGAACCAGTCAAGAGATATAATGAGGTCACTTGGATTGGATGTCAAAGCCACCATGCTGTTCGTTAGAGGAGGTGCCGTCAGCAATGTGAAGAGCCATTGGCTCATGAGATAGAAGAGAGAAAGGAAAATGCAAAGTAGAAAGTATGTTAAATGAGAACACAGATACATGGATTTGTATAACTTAGTTGATCGTATCTAGTTAATTAGCCTTCACTTAAGCAAAACTGCATCCAATAATACATTGTGAATGGAGAAAAGATAGAAATACAAATAAAAAGTATACATATGCTATTAACTAGAAGATTCAGGTATGCTTACAATCTCTCACACTCTGGCAAGCAATGGAGAGTCAATTTCAACTAACAAGACCTATTCATAGTAGTCCCTTAGTCCCTTAGTTTGAGGGTGAGAGAGAGAGAGTGGTAAGGGGACCCAATCAGGTCCAACATGCCTTTCGCACAAGGAAGAAATCATCCTTCTGCCCCCCCCTTATGCAAATTTGGTCTAGTTAGAATTTGGTTAGTCCATGGAGAAACCTAACGATTGACATAAAAATTTACCTCTAAAAAGGTAGAACTATGGGATTTGATTTATATTCTCAATAGAGACATGGGCTCTATGTTGGGATTCATAGACTGAAAAAGAAAGATTTTATCAATAAATACTCTAAGTAGAATATGGAGAAGATTAAAAAGCAAGTGGTGGTGGACCCATGCTGGGTTCAAAAAAGATATATCGTCTCCAACCAACAAGAATCTCCTGCCCTTTGTCCCCAAGATATGACCACTCGCAGATCACTAAACTGACCCCTAGTCGATCCAAGGGGGACAATATTGAACATTCCTTTTCGTCAAAACTGTTGGGATCAGGTCTCCATTGTGTGGAAGTAGAGGTTTCTCGAGAAAGAGGAACAAATCGTCAAAGCACGAGGAAGCACAAGGGAGTTGGTTTGCATTGAGATGGTCATACACCTTGGAGGAACAGACACGGATAGCTCCTTCTATCACATTCTCCAATAGTAGGAAACTAATCAAGCATGTGGTAGAGAGATGGAGCCAAGGGGGCATCCATGCCACGTCCTGGTGGCCAACCAGTCATGGAGCAAGAAGTACACACTTCTGTGCATGAGGGCGGACTACCTTTTTACCTTCTCCCAAGATGGTTCTGGATGTTATTTTATGTTGACAGAAGGGTTCTCTATTGACAGACCATAGCTTTGATTTATATTGAGCTCATTTGCTGAAGTATTTTTGATGTGGAACTAAAGTTTCTCATGTGTTTTAGGGCAGCTGTCTAGAGTGCAGTGTCTAGTGGTGTTTGGTGAACCATGTCATCAGATAAGTCAGATCCTACGGTGCGTGAGCCACCACGATACTAGATGCATAAAGCAATCCATCGGCGGTTTACGAGTCTGATGCCGCTCAGTAGCACATGGCCTTAGATGATGATCTAATGGCTAAAAAGGTGCCATGGTACTAGAGACTTAAGTTTTTGATCAGTGGTGGTTTATGGTGGATTGATCCTGTGTGACTTAGAGCGCCACTTGACCAAGCACATTTGATCCAATAGCTCTCGAAGTGCCATGATACTAGGAACTTAAGTTCTCACACGTACCACCATTAAGGATATAAAGACAATAATTAATTATTATCTAGTAAAATAGACATTATTGATTATCTACTTAGTGCCCTTGTTGATTCTATCTATCCACTTGGTTCACTAATATAATAAAGTAAGTAACAATTGTTTGATAAAATCCCGAGAGTAGTTGCGAATACAACAATCTGTTCTCCCCTCTTTTCATGCGATTAATGCTTCTAGTGATCGACGAGCTCATTCCTTCCTCTCTTGACTGAGCTCAAGGCCTTTGATAAGTGGTCAGCTCTTCCCTTCTCCCCTTAGATGATGGTTACAACTTGGTTGACCCCTCCTTTTGGTGGATCTCTTTGGCAAGTGGTACAACGCTTCTAGATGATACTTCTACAATTTCTAATGTGGTGTGACAGGTCTAGACAAAACCAAGCTGTCACACTAGTGTCTCCAATTGCCCAAGAGGTAGACTAAACTTGGACAATAATTTATTTTTATACTTTTGTCATATATTTACATGTTTTCAATATTTATTCATATTTTATGACAACTTATTTATGTTTCATGCGTTTCAATTATAATGAGTAGAATTGAACAAAAACTTGATGAATGATCTTCGTTCTTCTTTTGAATCCCCAGTAACTCAATTGAGATCAAGCTAAGATCATTTCTAACTTATCTTCTATTAATTTCTACTGTTGAATCTGGACATATCCATGTTCTTGATGTTCTGCACATAATGAATATCTTTCTATTTTTGAATGTAAAATTAGCGAGACTAAAGGCTGATTAACGAGCATTGAATTGTTAAAACAATGTGGAGACATTTACAACTGACCTCATGTCATATGTGTGAATTTTCGAGCACACATTCATCTAAGAATAATGGTCACTGTGTAAACAAGTTGAGTGTATTTTTTTCTTTCTTTATTCTCATCTTATTTCTCTCTCTCCCTCTCTCGTGAGACTTCTTCATCTTTCTCCATCTCTCTTGAGATCTCTCTCTCTCTCTTTTAGTATGATGAGTTCTAGATAAATTGATGTAGGACTGGGCGAGAACCCTTGTACCTGATCAATGAAACTCAAGACTTGGGATAGGGCAGTCAGACCGATCCGATAAGAATGTGTGGACCTAGGGCATAACTTAAGTATAGGCAGGCATGCCAATATGCACTATCAACCCAAGACAACTTGGGAAAACACTCGATGATGGTGAGTGTGAGGCCCTCTTAGTCCATGTCTGGATAGACGGTAGAATAGTCATCGTGAAGTAGCCTAGAGCTGCAGCTCATGAACCATGATGAGTTTGGCGTAACGTCGGGAGTCACGATTCGATAACTGTCATATTCTGTCTACATTCTCTTGATGGTGGTAGAAACGAGCTGAGAAAACCCTTCAAAAGATATTTAAACTTAAGAGGAAGGGGTACGGAGCTAACCTTCAGGGCTGTGTAGCCCAGCAGGTCATGACAGAGCGGAGACTCGACGTAAGTAGAGATGTCTGGTGAAGAGCGATGCTCAACGTCGACGGTTGGTTCTGGTCGAGAGTTATCATAGTCTTCATCAAAAGGCGTGACACAGTCAGATCGGGAGTGCGCCCGCTGGTGGGCCGAAGGGCATGCTAGTGAGCGCGTGCGGCAAGCCACGCGGCGTGCCTCAGGGCATGCAGGTGGCAGCGCCAGGTGGCGTGTGGGCCACAAGAGCCGGCACGTGGGGCGTGCATGGCGGCGGTGCTTCGGCGGGATGCCAAGCGTCAGTGGCGCTTTGGCGGGAATGCCGAGCGTCAGCGGCACTTCGGCGGGATGCTGAGCGTCAGCGGCGCTTCGGCGTGAATGCCAAGCGTCAGCGGCGCTTCGGCAGGAATGCCGAGCATCGCGGTGCTTTGGTGGGAATGTCGAGCATCAGCGGTGCTTCGGTGGGAATGCCGAGCGTCAGCGGCGGTTCGGCAGGAATGCCGAGTGTCGGCAGTTGGGTAGAAACCCAACTGTCGCGGGAAGGGTCGGCCTTCTCTGGCGGCACCGGGAAACGGAGTAGAGGAAGGGGACGATTCGGCCGACGATACCAGGGAGGGTTGAGCCCTCCCAGTCTAGGCGGCACTAGAAATGGCACAACAGCGGTAGATCGTTGGGAAACTCTGGCGGGGCTTGTGAGGAGCTTGGACTAGATCTGGCTCGTCGGCACGGCAGCGGGGTCTCTCCTGACGTCGGCGGCAGGCAGGCGTTTGTCGGCGAACAGCCATCGACTAGGCGGAGCGACAGATGGTGGCTCTGGCAAGTTTATGGTGGAGTTCCGGAGGAAGAGGTGGCCGTTGAACTAGGAGTCGAGAGACTCTGGTGGAGTGCTTGGCGACGGCTCGTAAGGAGGCGAAGCAAGCCCCTTTCATCACAACGACGTGACGGGGTTCCAGTAGAGGCGCCGGTGGCTGCAGCAGCAACCATGACCGTGTCGTCCGGTGACGGCGGTACTCTCACGGGCGGCAATGAAGATGTCTGGCGGCGGGACTTCTCCGGTAGTAGCGTCACGATGAACGAAGTCCTCAGGGTATCAACGGCCTTCCTCTCCCTCCTTCCCTCCCTATTCTAGGTCACGAAGAAGGTATCTCACAAAAATGATAATCTCTCACAAAATTTGGCACTCTCTTGAGGGAGGGTCTTACCTCCCCTTATATAGGGCTCACAAGTGGGCTAAGGGGAGGTGGGCCCACTTGAAGCCCTTAAGCCCATAAGCCACAAAAAGGCTACAAAAGGGGCTTATTAGGCCTCTTAAAGAGAGACCCAATACGCTCCCCTAAAAGGAGAAAGAAGAGGGCCCTCTTACGGTGCTTAAGTGGGCCTCAAATGAAGACCCAAATAAGCCCCAAAATAGGCCCAAAAGGAAAGACACATAGGTCCCCCACCTTAGGGTTTTAATTGGGCCTCAAAAGAGAAACCCAATAAAACCTTAAAGAAAGGGAGACACAAACAACAACACACACACATAGAATTGGGCCCATTAACACACAAATGCAAGGCTCAATAAGTCAACGTGAAAATACAAAGAAAGATAAGGTTGAGCTCGAGCTTATCATCGTCATGGAGGTGGAATGTCGTTGTCCTGAAGGGCTAGGCCGTGTAGCGAAAGTCAGGCTCCTTCGTCTTCGCGCGTCGATCGGGCTGAACTCAGACTGCCGGTGTCTCCTAAGTTGATGGAGATGAGTCCCACTCGCCATCATAAATCTTCAAGAGGAGGGGGGGGGGGGGAAGTCAACTAATGAGACGCCAAACCACAGAAGACAGACATAGTGGCCTAAAAGAGCACTGGAGGGGATGGATGAACAGTTTTCATCTTGAAATCATGAAAAGTTAACCTTTATTCTGCATCTGTCCCTACTTTTGCCGGCGTTTCTATCTCCATTGCGCCAGCCACAAGCTCCGATTCCGACAGCATGGAGGCCACCTTGTCATAACCTCCCGATGCCGGAGACCAAAGCCTGCCAAGGCCCAACCACAACATCCGTTTGGTTTCCCCATGGCTGCCGCATCTCTGCTGGAGATAGACCACGACTGCCAGTAAACCTACAACTAATGCTACGACAACATCTCCCATTCTGAAATAGAATCCCAAATCAGGGTCCACAAACTCATACGCTTGGTCAAAGTAGATGTTCATTGGTGGAACTCTAATGTAGTTGTAAGCATGGGGAAGAAGCTTAATCAAGGTTATCCCTAGATAGTAGGCTTTTCTCAGAGGTCTGCACCTGATCTGCCATACTATGTTTCCTATGACCTGAGGAATTAGGAAGAAATCTTGCACCAGACCTGCATACTGCTCCAATCGGGCTCCCCAATCTTTAATCCCCTGACTTGGACCTGGGGAACTCACATTAAAGTCTGTTCGAATAGGCTTATGAAGATGGGTATTTGGATTTATGAGGAGGGTGACCAGAAATCCAACCGCATGAAGGATCAAGCATACCACGAGCACCCGCTTATCACTCGGCACCCGTCTTGGTAACCGGATGCGCGACTCCCACACTTTCTGCCAGAGTCTTAGAGTGAGAAGAAATGCCGTCAGTACTAGGGACTTCACCAAAAACTCCCCAACTTGGAATGACCCGTCACTCCCGAGATCATACTGAGATGATGACGCATAGGACCTTTGCGATTGACTAGTGAAGAGAGCCTCCGGCCCTGTGATCAATGAAAGTCCATTCCCAAGAGCTTGGACGCCCAGCATGACGTGAGATACGTAGGGGGCAGCGGCACTTGCGTCCTTGATATAAAACAGCTGGCTCAGTATGCATGCGATGACGATTGACATCGTTGAAATCCTGAGGAACAGTTCCACATTTCTCTCGGAGAGTATGTCTTTACTTTGACTAGTATACATAATTGCGGATGTCTGAAGTTTGACTGGACCGAAGTAGAGGGGATCGTTGTCTTTAGATCGGTTGCTTTCTATTGAGAGTTTGGCTGTTGGCGTAATCAACCATCGGAGAGTCGTGGGCGGATACTGGATCTCAACCTTAATCTCACAATCTAGATGTTGCCATTCAGTGATGTTGGATACTGTTTTCCGAGGAACAGCGGCGACTCTGCAGCCGACCAGGTACATCTTTCCGGTTAACTGGCTGTACAGACCCTCCACGGACAGCATCAAGGAACTATTGCGAGGAGTCTTGGTGATCTCGAGCTGTGCTGAAATATTCAGACGTGAAGCGGCAGCTTGAGCAGGATCGTCCGATGAGTTTCCTGACGACTGATAGAAACCAGAGTCGCAAAACTTGGAGCCCAGCGTAAGTATTCTAAGTCGAACATATTCCACCCTGAACCTACCTGACCTCTGGACGGGGAACAAAGAGACGGAGAGCCCGAGATCGCGGCAGAGGTTACCGCGTTCGTTCATCCTCGGATAAGTGAGAAGAGCTTTTTTAATACCACCACCGTGGCCGAGGGCCTCGTCTCTACGGAGAAATTCGGCGGCTTGCTTCGTCTTTGAGTACTCATACGATAACACATATATAAGGTCCATAGTGAGCTGTCGTCCATAGGCGTGTATGGGCCGTCCCAACGAGAAGGAGAAGTTGGAGGGGTCCCCACTCTTACTGATGCTGGAGATGCTCCCGAAGACGGTGCTTCTCTGGGTCAGGGAGAAAGATGTCGGCACATAAAGGCAGATGCGGAGGTTGCACCTCGAGGGATCCGCGCCGGCGCAAGCCACCATGCAGAGCTGCCCACTGGAGGAGTTCCATATCCCCTCTGATGAAACAATCGGACGAGAGAGACTCGTGCTTTCAGACGCTTCATAATGGCTCTCCAATGGCAGAACCTCCTTCAACAGAGTGGCTACCCTTGCAGAGATATTACTGCCGTTGGGGCCGGCCTTCGCCCTGCACCTAAGCTCAGTCATGATTAGCTTGACACTGTCAAAGCTCCCATGAGTCGCATTGAAGTTCCCCGATCGAAATGGCCACATCTTCCGGCAGTAATCATTTGTGGAGTCGCATCTCCCGTTCGGCAACATAGTGAATACTTGGTAGTATGCAAGCTGATGTAGAATTTTACAGAAATTTGGTCCCTTGTAGATGTTAATGTGATCACCCAGCCACTTGTTCGGACGAGCGTAGGGACTGCAGTCTTTGGCGGTGATATCTTCGGATGCGAATTTATACGTCGTCATTGGGTAACGCTCCGGCTGGAATGCGATCTGCATCTTGCCGAAGTACCCGGGGGTTGACTTGTCGTGAAGACTCCTCATCTCCCCTTTGATTTCTCTTCTGGTCAAGGAAAATGACTTGGGACGGCGGACAACAAGGACGATTTTTTCATCTTTTAGAAGGGGAATCGGATCCACTCTTCTGTCTGAACCATTCCTCAATTTCCATGGATCAGCTGGATCATACCCACGAGAAGGGAGCTCGGCAGACCCCAGCAGGCACATCACACGCTCTCCATCAGCCTCTGATTCGGAATACACACCTTCGAAGGCAATCTGGAGCCGGGAATACCCTTCAAACATCAGAAACCCATCCTTAGTCCCCTTGTTTCTCCATCTCCATGTTTTATCTTTCAAGATGCTCAGAGTCAGGGTGCCGCTCATATTCATGGCGGTTTGGGATCGTCCCTTTCCATCGACATCCACCACCGCACTGAACGACGCTCGGAACTGAGGACGGGGGGACCCGGAAGAATTGTCGTGGGGGCCCATGTACAGTGGCATCAAAGGCGCGTCATTGGAGTCCTGTGCCCATTCTCCGTAGAGGTTCATCTCACTGGGAATATCGTGGTCCAGCTTGACCACGGAAAGAGACGACAGAATGGAGTTGCATTCCCGCTGTACCTCTGAGAAGCGGGAGTAGGTGTGATGGCCTAATCCTTGTGCCTCTTGGAAGTTATGGTAAAAGCAGGCGCCGAGGCACAGGGAAGACAACCAGAGGACTACCCAGAAATAGGGAGCCGAGGGGGCGGGCCCCATGGCCTTCCTGAAAGCTGAGAGGTTATGGAAGATTCAAGGATACCCAAAAGACCTGCAAACGAAGAGGATAGGAACAGAGAGAGAGGATCATATCAGAAAATCAAGTTCTTACACGTAGTAATCGGTAGGAGAAGAGGAGGAAAGCCGAAGAAGCAGACCCCTCTGCTCACCACGTCGGCCGGGCTGTCCGACAGCCCTTCCTGTTTCTCCTGCTCGTGAAGATGGGGAAGAGCAGACGTCGGGTGTCTCTGCTTGGAGGTCGGCTATTGCTTGCCCTCTGCTATAGCGTAAACCTCCACAGGATGTAGAAGGTACTTAGGATTCCTCGATTGTCCTCTCCGGTCCGGGAGTTATTACAGTCGGGTCCACAGATGGATGGCGACGGTGCCAGGAGCTCTGCAATTCCCGACCGTCTGATTGGTGTAAGAGTCCCGGATCTGACGTGGCCCGAGGGGGGAGAGAGAGATGGGCTCTTCTGTCTTTTAATAGGTGCATAGGTTCAACATCATAGCCAATGGTATGTGTTGACCTAGCGGGTTCAACTGAGAACGACGACAGAGCCCACTGCCTTGGAGAACAGGTTATTGACTCTGACTTTGATGCTTTCTGCTGATTGCACCGTTGGCACTAAATTCTGCAAATACCCTTGAATCCATCCTTGGAGGATCTTATCTGCTCATCGTGACAGAGATTTTAAGCATCCACACAAACCTACTGGTCTCCTCGCTTCCCCTCTTCCACCTCAGCCGCATGTCGGCTTCTTCTAGGGGTCTCGAGTGGAGCTCACTTCCTGACCTTTTTACCGGGAGAAAGTCAAGAATACGACGCGAAACTATTGCTTCTGCAAAGAACCATGCAGCTGATATAAATAAAATTTAGGATGAATGTTAACATCATGATGATGTGAGAAGGGCCGCAATTTCCTCCATTTGATCAACATCAGTCATTTACTTTCTGCCTTTGTTTGACATTCAAGCCAACATGGTATGTTGACTTTGACTGGGTATTGGTTAAGATGACCCTATTGTAATGAAAACATTGCATATTATTACATTTACTTGAGTTGAAGTTAACGGAGCAATGGAGTGAGGGATCGCCAATTGAGAACATCCATCAGATAAGCCATGAAATAGCTATGTATCCATTAGGGATGCTCTCTAATAGAGATATGGGATATCGCACCCAAAGAGAGGGAGACTTATTCAAAGAGAGCTTATCTTGTGCTGGACAATTGACCACTTGGTTCCTCATGTTCATTATTCATTGTTTAATAAAATAAATACATCCCTTGCTGGTGGCTAAACATGACAAGGGAGCATTGGTTTCTCTAACCTTCAAGGAATTAGGATGCATTGACTGATGCAGTAGCTTTAACATACATCTGCTTTGTGGTGATACTTGTGTTAATGACTTCACAAATACAACTTTTGGTCTATATTTCAGACCACGACTTGAAATGAGCTGTAAGAGAGAGTCATATACCCCAAGTGACTGGAAGCTTAAGCATGACCCCAAACCTCATGGCCTCCCAACTACCCCTTTGCATGTTGTCTCCAAGACACAACTTCACTGTAGTCCGAAGTGGAGCTTAGTGATAGAAAGTAGAATAAGAAGCAATTGACTGAAGACACCCGACATTCTACTCAAAAAATTTGTGCCAACATTTTACTCAAAGAAAGGTTGGAACAAGAACAAAATCAACACTTTTTGTAAGAACCATGTATCTTAAAAGTTTCATAAAATTTCCATAAATGTAAAATACATCCCATATGAAATTATTTCTTGACATTATGGCCAGAATTGTGTGGTCTTAGTGGCTGATGTTAGACATCAAGAAGGCATAGTAGGCATTTAGTATGTTCATGTGTTTCATAATGATGAAAAACCAACATGACCATAATTGCATTTTAATCATCCGTCATAAATTTTGCAATAAAAAATTATAATTGGACATTAGTGTTATTTAATGAGATGACACATTAAATGATTAATTTAATGCAGAGAAGGAGAAGACTTTTGTCCATGAGGGAGAAGTGGTCCATTCACAGACCGATTCTCATCAACAGAAATGGCCCATTTGTGGGAGGACTAGGAATGACGAGAACAGCTCAATATTGGCCAAACCGATTTGGTTGAATGGAGGAAGAAACAGCTCAGCTAAATGTTTCCCATGGAAATGGTCCATGTGTGGTATGTTTTCTGAGGTCATTAACTGGGGCACATTTCTTGATGTCATTTCAAGTGCATATAAATAGAGTGTCCCCCTCTCATTTGAGTATCCTATTAGAGAGAGCTTTGGAGAGGTTCCAAGAATGCCTAGGAGAGGTTCCAAGAGGAGACCTCTTGTTGAGTTGAATGAGTGATTTGAGGGCCAAAATCAAGAATTTATTCTTTGGGGTTTCAATGTGAGTGCTCTTTTGTATGCTTGTCTCATCTAGTGGAGCTTTTGTCATCACGTATAGATGTAGGAGGCCAACCTCCAAACCACATAAATTTCTTATGTCAATGCTCTTGTTGTGAGCTGATCCTTCTCCTTTCTCTTACTTTATATCATACATATTGCGTGAACATTGCTATGGAAATCTATAGTGGATTTTTGTTCTAAGCATTAGGGTGTAGCTACTTACCTCAAAGCAAATAAAATGTCATTCTATTGGACATTAAGGCCAAAATGAAGAGAAATTTCTCAAAATAATTACGAGTTTGATTGTTTCACTACCATCTTAATCTAATTACATAGGTAGTGAGATTCAATGTGCAGCATAATTCAAAAATGGAAAATCTCATAGAGTAGGGGCCCTCATATAGTGAAGGAATTGTGCATGAAAATAGGTAAAATAATCTAGACTTAAACACACCCCTTTTGTAGCCATCTTAGACTTACACAAAAAGCTCTCTAGACAGGATAAAGAAACTGCACCCTAATTATGTGTTATAGGGCAAGTAGATCCATCTATCAAAATGAGTGTTAATAGCACATGAGGCAATCTTTATTTAGTGTCTTCCCATGATTTAGCCAACCCATTGGTCTTCATTACACCAGAGACCAAAGCCTGTCAAGGCCCAGCATGACATCTGCCTGGTTTCCTCATGGCTGCCGCATATCTGCTGGAAATAGACCACAATTGTCAGTAAACCTGCAACTAATGATATGGCAACAACCCACATTCTGAAATAGGATCCCAAATCAGGGTCCATAAACCCATAAACTTGGTCAAAGTGGATGTTCATTGGTGGAGCTCTAATGTGGTCGTCAGCACAGGGAAGAAGCCTAACCAAAGTTATGCCCAAGATAATAGGCTATTCTTAGTGGTCCACAGTTGATCTTCCATACTATGTTTCAAATGACATGAGGAAGTAGGAAGAAATCTTGCATCAGACCTACATACTACAATTGGGCTCCCTAACACTGAATCTCATGACTCAGCCCTGAAGAACTCATATACATCTCCAGCCAAAAAGGTCCATGTAGGTAGGTATTTGGATGCATGAGGAGGATGACCAGAAATCACATTGCATGAGGGATCAAGCATGCCACGAGCACCCACTTATAAATTGGCACCTATCTTGGTAACTGGGTGTGCGGCTCCAACACTTTTTGCTAGAGCCTTAGACCTACTTTCGGCTATCAACTTTATCGTAATATCCTTGGAGAAACCAAATGAATTCAGGAGAAGGGATTCCTTGGAGCAGATTCAAACATTTAAACCTGAATGTAGGGGTACTCAGTTGCATATCCATAGATTTAAGGAGGAACATAAAGAAGATTATAAGGTGCTCCTCATGTGTCTTATAAGTTGATCAAGTCCAAGCAATGCTTAAACTTCTTCAAAGAAATAGTCTTCACGAGCACATCTGTAGGGGTCTCCATCATATAAACCTTTTTCACAACAAGTGTACAAGAAATCATGAGATCTCTATTAGCTGATCAAACTATGTGAAGGCATTAAGTTGAGGAGCATTATTCAGATATTTAGTGACTATCTTCAACCAATTCTAAAAACCAACAACTTCTATTTTCTGCCAATATTCATTCAAGAAGAGGACAACAAATATCAAGCCTCGATCATTATCTTCTTCATTGAAAATCTAGAAATACTCAAAGTTTACATCATCTTCAGAATACTACTCATGGTGAAATCTTTTCAAATATTTTTTGAGATAAATTTGTGATTAAAATATTATTAATTGCTCATAGGAGCTGTTCTTTAAAACAATTGTTAGCCTCCTGGAGCCATGAATCTAGAAGAGAATTGTGATGTAAAATTTTAAGAGAGCTGAGACCAATAATTAGTTGTGTATGATCAAATGATCATAGTTAGTGGAAACTAAGAACAAAGTTTTTATTAGGGAGTGGACATAGGTAGTGAATTCAACCACTGTAAAAAAACTTTTTTCTCATACTCAATTTAAGTTTTAGAGAACTAAAAACCAATAGGAAAATATCTTCAATCTGTTCACGAGAATTGGATATCTAAGAGAAATAAAAGGGGATCAATTCAACCCCCTCTCTTCTTCATCCTACTGTGGGCAAAAATTTAATAAGTGGTATCAAAGCCTACCTCTATATATAGGAAAGAAATTTCTTTGAGTACATACAATGGCTAGCACATTAGGATATAACACAAATTGGTTCTCAATCTATAGACCAGCATTATTTAGTAGGTTGAATTATGTTTTTTGGAAGAATTTGTTAAAGAATTTAATCCTAAGATTAGATTATCAACTATAGGAAATTATAATGGATGGTCCATTAAATGTAAATAAGGATGCACTTATAGAACAACAAAGATAAATTAAGTCCATATATATTAGAGCTAAAAATGAATTGGTTAGATGTTTAGATACTAAAGAACTTTATAAAATCTTAGATTATTGTTGAGTAAAATAAAATTTGGAATAAATTATAGGCTACATATGAAGTAACCTCGCAAGAAAAAGAGACAATAGATAACTTGGTACAAACGGTATACGAAGGATAGCATATGTTTCACCACAAC